CTGCTGAAATTGTTCAGACCAAGGACTTTAAATATATTTGACCCCAACTAAGATTCCATGTACCTCCTTTAATCTTTTAAAAACTAGGTAGTTTATATAGAAATGTTTCCTAGGCATAGTTCAGTAGTTTTCAATGTTTTTTTATTTGCGGACCCCCTACACATTTTTCAGTGGAGGTGTGGACCCCTTTGGAAATTCAAAATGGAAGTGTGGACCCCTTTGAATTGTAAGTGTGGGTATTCACATACTTTTGATTGATCATAGTTATCTTGGGCATAGGAGGTCCTCAGACCACAGATTCAAAACCACTGGCATAGAGGCTCATCTTGCTTACTGAGGATGCACAAGCATAACGGAGGCTCAATTCTGGCTCACTGTTTGTAACATACCGTTGTTTCTGAGATTATCATAGTAAGCTCATATAGGAATAGGTAAATAACTAGAAAATATGGTATACGGCAGTGTACTGCAGCTAGGTGTTTAAACAATACTTTGCTTTTATAAAAATGTTTTTCACTGTTTGAGAGCTGGCTAGTGATATGTTTACTCCTAACTAATGTTTTTTTATTCCATAGCATCCAAGACTCTTATAAACAGTATGTTACGGGACCCTTCTCAGATTCCAGATGGAGTTCTAGCAAATCAGGTCTATCAGGTATTAATCACAGCCATCTTTTTTTCAGTGGCAATGCTGTTATCTGCCTAGCAGAGTAAAGGATTTTAAACCTCATTTAATTACTGTCATCATAAACTATCACTGAGGTCAGGGTGCACCATAAATGGCAATGCAATATTTGTGAGGAGAGCATTTCACATTTTAATAGCTTGCTTTTATAGTGAATAAAAAGCATGCAATTTTTGTTTTCTGTGATTAAATCTGAACAGCCTTTGATAGCCTTTTTGAGGAAAAGTAATTACTGTTTTTAAGATACTGTTTAACTATAATAGTTTTGTAGTTGCCTATCACTATACTACTTCTCTTATTTGTCTGCAGTGTACTGTGAATGACTGTTGTTATGGACCACTGGTGGACTGCATCAAACAGTATCCTTTCCCATAAAATTTTAGGTGCACAATTGACGAGCTTAGACTCTGTGGAGGAGATGTGTCTAGCTTTAACCTGACATAAAGTTCTGCTTCACAAAACACATTTCATACTCCTTTATTTTATATTCAGTCAACTAGACGGTCACTTCAGACCTTTCTTTTTTACTGTTTTAACTAAAATCAGATAGGCCAAGAAAAGTTGTCAGTTCAGTAGCTGTACATTCATATGCCTAGTTGAAACCTCTTTGTATTTATTAAATGAAATGCACATCTTTCCTTCTATAAAGCCATTGAGTTCTATTGACACTGTAATATTACAATATTGTTAACTAGTTTGACTTTTTATTTGGATTTTTCAAAGTTCAGTTTAAGTACTGATCGATTAAAGTTTTAAAAGCTGTATCTGCCATACCTGTGCAGTTCTGTCTCCTCTTCTTAAAGGAAGCTGGGACATAAGGATAAAGGGAACCTATTTTTAATGAGAAATTAGAGAGCATTCCAGAATGAACAGAGTAGGAATTTTACCATGTGAATTTTACCATGTGACAGTAGGTCAGGGGGCTGGCAACAGTGCCTGCAAGTTTTGCATGGGAAACCATTGACTACTGTTACTTCCTGCAGCAGACAGGTCTCTTCCAGCACATTTTACTGTCCTGGTGTATGTAGCTGTTAGGAAAGAGGTTTTTATTGCATCATATTCAGGTTTACTATGTGTATTATTTAGTAAGGATTCAGTCCTGTTCTCTCTAACTTTAATTGGAGCAGGACAAGATTTCAAATATATTTTTAATTATGTGATTTGAGGATTCACTGTGACTACTATTGACAAGAAATACAATGACACACAAGTTTATTAATTTGATATGGTCGTAGCTTTTTTATCTTAAGCTGATATCTAAAATGTGGTGGTGTATAAGGTTTGTATTCTTGTAACAAATCTGGATGTACTCTTCTGGTGTTTATTTGTGAATAAATGCATTATTCTAAGTATCTCTACTTATAGTAAATTGCTAAAAAAAAAAAAAAAAAAAAAAGACTTTTTTTACAACTCAGAAAGTTCCATCCCTTTTTTTCAAATAAGCCTACATAACAAAATACGATGTTATTAGGACTAATGAAAAATTAGTCAACCCTGGTTGTTACAGGAAAGTACAGTGATATTTAGCTGTGTGAATGCATTATCTGTGAGTACATGTTGCTGAATTAAATGTTAATTTTAAAGCACATAAAATAGTTAAAAATCAATTTAAAGTTAAGGTTTTAAAAGCATAATGTCTTCTGAAGGATTGCATATTGATTTTAAATATAACTATCTAATTATATATGCATGGACTAAAGTATGAAGTCAACCTCTTTGTAAATGCCAGGAGGCTATTTTTCAGTAATAGTTCAGATGCTTACGGGAAACTAGGCTGCTGGATTGCACGAGTTGGAAAATGGCTTGTGAGGTTATTTACAAGTTTTGCCCCATGGTCACTGCCATACATCAGTAATGGGTATTATTATAAACTAAGTCTAAGTGTTTCTGCTTATGGTGCATTATAAATTCTGTTTGCAGTATTTGTCTTATATTTTTGCCATCATTCATTTTCCTTTTTTGGCTCTGTCATTGCCAGTATAGTTACTGTAGTACATGATTTCAGTTGATAGAGAAAATGATATATATGTGTAAAGTGATTCTTTATGATTACTTTTCTTGCAATTCAACAGTAAAACCTGGTAAAAAAATTAGTATAACTGATTATAATGGTAAGGTTTTCTGAAAGTTATAAGTCAGTATAAGATATCGTAAACAGAATTTGGAATTGTTTTAAAATTTCAGTTACAGATTCTCCTTTTATAGAAGCTTCCAGTCAAGAACAACTTGGAAGTACTAACAGTCTACCTCTGGGCAGAGAAATTGGGGTTATCCAGTATTATGCATTGCATATATTAGTCATAATGATAAATTTTGATCACACATTGTCAGTGGAGTGGCAAGATTGGGGATCCTACACTAAAATACTTTATTTTGCCCTACCCAGTATACTGTTGTTTATGTAACCAAAATCAATTAAAAGGCCATTTTGTTATAGTGAGATGCATCAGTAGGCTTCAGTACTTATCTTAAAAGTGTGAACTATTTTAAGGAGTAAAGAACAAAATCCAACTTCTTTATTCTTTGTACTTGGGGAAAACAATCATTGAATTCAGTGGGAACTTTGCCTAAATATGGAGCCCAGAACCAGCCTGTAATTCAATAAATCCATTTCTAGCTTAATAGGGATGTATTTTTCTCGCACAGTTTTTCATTTTTGTCTTTAAAAATATTGTAAGGAATTACAGTTTCTGAGGATACTGAGAAAAGTTGTTCATTATATCTGCATTTTCTCATTTCCAAGTCTGTTTTATATTTGTTCTGTTTCAGAGACCAGCATCATTTTTAAGAAATAACTAATGGCCTTGACTTTGGGGTATTCCACTTCACATATCATAAAGTGGACTGATTATGGAAAATACTAACCAATTCCCCTTTCAAAATCAGACCCCTTTGAGAGGTCTCAACCTGTGCATCTAAATCATTGATCACTCAACAGATATATAGGCTAGTATGTTTTAGTGTGAATTATTCTAACTGTAATACTGTTCTGAACTTCGCTATATTCCAAATGCCTTGCCTTTCTTAACTTAAAACCATCAGTGCTATTGGACACGAACATGAAGTCTTGCTACGAGAAATGCTTCTGAAGAAAAATCTCTCTTTCCTAGGTAAGACTCTTGTAGAATCTAACCTATGATGTCTTAGCTTCAAAGATCTCAGTGACTGTTTACTTAAGAAAAAAGAAGCTTCTGCCCACATTGTATTATGTAGTAAAGGAAGAGTAAAAAATGATTGATGCTGTACATGTTATCTTTTATTGATTTAGAACTGAGGAGGAACTCAGTTACCTAATACCCTGTATATACAGCACATGCACAGACTTGCAATTAATATTTTATAGAATAAGTAGCTGAAAAAAATGCTTTAATATCTGCTGCAGTATTACTTTTGGTGTCATGAGATATTAGCCATAATCTTGCCCTTATGAGATTTAGAAGAAAGCATAAGAAATATTAGCTTCAAAATGCTTTATGTATTAAAAAAAAACTGCTAGAAGAGTTCACATGTTTAGCTACATATGCAGTTTTTCCTGATATTTTTTAGCTAATGCACTGAATCTTTCCCCATTCCCTATTTTTAAAGTTATTTTAAGGGTTTATTCTAGAAGATGTTACCTTGATAATCGTTTTTTTTCTCTCTCTTAAAACAATTTAAGCAGAATATATTAATCACTATTAAATGCAATGTATGACCCTTTAAAATAATTTGTTATTATAAATTAAGATAGAAATTCTAGGAATAAGAAATTATGTGAGATGATATTGAAATAAGACGCATACAACATTCAACTATAGTAAAAGGTGGTAGTAGAAATTTCTGGTGTTGAAGGGTCACATAACATGTTAGTTTTGTCTGTCACCAATGGCCTGTCTTAAACAATATTGTATATCCACAGAAATGAACAGAAAATAGGGTGATGGATACCAAATAATATGTATTTCTCCAAAGCTAGTCATGCCAATTTTTTTTCTAGGATAGCAATCTTAGTGGACAAAGGAGCTGAATAGAACATAGTAGAACAGGAAATCGGAGACGGTTGAGAATATATAATTAAAATAGAATATGATATTACAAAATTAAAAAAACTGAACCAAAATCAATAAATATTATGATACAAAAATATAGAACTGAAGGATAACTGCAGGCAGTAGTTATTTCAGAATAGGAGTTACACATTTTAAACACAGGCTGTGGCTGTGATGAACCGTATAATTTACTCTTGTCAGAAAAATAAAAATAAAACAAGTTTCTTGGTGTTTTCTAGATGTTGTATTAATACGTATTTAGTAAATGAAATAACTAAGACTTTGTCATAGCCTCACTCCAGCTACTATGCAGTTACTCATATGTAGCAGTTTAAAAAAAAAAAAAGAAGAAAACAAAAACAACCTTTTGATTATAAGCCTTCCTGAGTTTTGACATCCCTCAAGCTTAAAAATAACATTCTGTAATATGTCCATGGTCACACAGTAAATCCATATTGGAAACCAGAGCTAGAAAATACATCATGTTTCCTAAGCCCACGGCTAATCCACTAAATCAGGGATTGGCAACCTTTAAGAGTAGCGGTCTCTTGCTTTCAACCTGGCCATCTCTATGGGCTCCCGGTCCCTTCTGCAGTGCTGAGTCCTCCCTGCTCTGTGCCGAGGGCTCCTGTCTCTCTTTCATGACCCTCTGCTGCAGCTTCTGCTTTCTGATTAAAGAATGAGAGACAAAATACAGAAGAACCTGGATTCTTCATGGGGTCAGATTGCTTGCCTGACCCTACCCACTTGTAAAAAATCAAGGTTTGAAAACCATCAGGTGAACCACTGAGGGCTTACAGCCACAGTAAACAGCTGCACATAATGCAGATGTGCTCCAGTTGTTTGCTGTAGCTTTTATATCAAATGGCACTCCTTCTCATGTTAGCTGTGTGGGACTACTGATGAACTCCAGCTGAGTGGAGAAGCAACACCTATCAAAGTAAAAACTGCAGCAATCCACTGAATGGCTTGTCCTTACTTTGGCAGTCCACTATAAATTAGCAGGTTGTAAATCATCCTCACACAAAAAATCTGTTTCTGCTACATTTCACTGAGAATAGTTAACATTGAAAAAAATTCCTCTATAAACAGAAGTGTTCAAAACAAGATTAGAAAATCTAGAAACTTCTACTGAGGCTAAAACTAATGGCAACTTTTACTGTGCCATATATCTCATCAACCGTAATCCTACAGCTAGAGTCTGTGAAGACAAACATACGGCCCTGAGACTGGATCTTGCCCATGGAGCCATTCTCTATGGCCTGCAGAGCTACTGAAGGTCTAGGAAATTTGGGGGTGGGGCACACTGCTGAATCCAGAGCTGCAGGGTCATGTTGGGTGTGGCCGTGGGTGACAGGGGGTGGAAAGGCATGACTGCAGGTTGTGTTACCAGTTGGCCTGCCACTGCTTGATCCACTGCCTCTGCCACTGGCCCTGGCATCACTCCTTCCCCAGATACAGAACACAAGGAGCTCTGTAGTCTGGATCTGGCCAAGAGAATAGGGTGAGCTTGACACTCTTGTCCTAGAGGGAGCCATCTCCCTTGCTTTTCAAATACAATTCAGAAAAAATACTGTGGCAGTGCACTTGCAGTGCCCACCACTTTAAGGGTTGAGTCAAGCAGCCAGCAGGTACTTGGTTGTGGCAGTCATTTTAAAACACTGGCTGCCTGTATAAACATAGCAGTTTGCTGCTGGCAGCTGGGCAGAAACATTGCCTGGCTGAAAGGCTGTAAGAAACATCTAGGAGGTAAGGGCAAAAGCTTATGGGGATGGCTAGGAGGCTCTTGGTCCTGGGAATGACCTAAAACTGCACCCTGCCAGGGATAGATGGCCTGATGGGGCTTCTGGTGGTGCAGGAGTCCCCAGGAAATGCCAGTCCAGTTACCACCCCAGTGAAAGGTGGGTCAGGGTGCCTTAACCCTGAGCCCCAACAACACTGGGTACAAGGGGGCTAGACACAGCTATGGCCACCTGAGCCTCCACAGGGGAGAGAAGCCCAAAGTCCCAAAGGAGGGGGTTGTGTAATCCCAGAGAGGGGGTGGTAGTGAGGGCTTGGAAGAGGGTTGAGTGTGCTGCATAGGGCACAACCCAAGGGGGTGTGCTGCATAGGGCTGTGGGACAGCCTGAAGGGCAGCACATGGGCCAACCCCCGGGAGAAGGACTCAGTTGTGAAGATGATGAGAGGACCCTGGAGAGGGGCATGGTGTAGAGGCCCTAGAGAAGGCATAGTAGGAACCCCAGGGGTGGGCCAGAGAGAGGCCGAGGGAGTAGTTTGGGCCAGAGGCCAAGAAGCAGGGGGGAACGCTCAGCCAGAGCGTGAGGGGCGAGTCCTGATGCCAGAAAGTCTTCCACCGTTAGGAGGCAGAGTGTGGGTCAAAAGTAAGACCTGTAGCAAGCACAATGACCTGCTGCTCCAGGGAGGAGTGAGAGTCCCTGTGAGACCCTGGAGCACCAATCATGGTGTGGGGCATGAGTATCTTGTGGATGCCATCTGCGAGGCATGGGCTGCAGGGTAGGGAAGGTTCAGAGCTGCAGATAGCATCCCCTGGCATCAGGGTATGTAATGGGCAGTCTCCTGCATTTTCCACCAGGTTATGGGAACAGCAAAGTTGTGGTAGGCAAGACTGGGCGGACTGCCCCATAGAGACAAGTGGGTGGGCCAGCATGAGACCCGGCCCCAAGCATGCCCCCTGTCACAAATACTCATTTCCACCATCCACAAATCTGCTATGAGGAAGACAGGCTGCTTCTTTATTGTATATACACTTGAAACATCTCTTAATCTCCCTATTTGTCTTTTCTTACTTCCACATAAAGTCTAGAAATCCATCTTCATCTCTTCCACACTGTCTACTGGTCACTGATATGAATGTGGCATACAGCTGCCAGTTTCTTCCTTGCTCTTCCTTTTCCAGCCCTACAGCAAGTCATAGTTACCAACAACTGACCAGATGCATGTTGTTCTGCTTGGTCTGTCTCACACCTGATTTATTTGCAGAACACTTCTGGCCTTTAAAATCATCTGAGAACCATCTGCTAACAAAATCAAAATCTTTATCTTGTGTTACATTCAGATGCAAAGCACACTCGAATTTGCTTCATTCTGCCTATCACCTTCCTCATATAAAGAATCAGAAAGTTTAAAAGGACCTTAAAGGTGTTACAATCCAACTTCCTGCACAGGTACAGGATGCATTATTTTTACATTATCCCAAATACCTATCCAGCCTCTTCTTCAAACCCTCCATTGAAGAATATTTTATAAGTCCATTGGACAGCTTGTTGCATTATGTTTCTGTTCTGACAACAATTCTTTTTCCTGAGATTTAGTCTAAATTCACTTTGCTTCAATTTGAATCTAGTGCTTGGTGTCCTGCTCTCTGTGGCAAAGAACAACAGTTATTCTCCATCTTTTTTATGGTAGCCTTTCAAATATTTGAAGCCTGCTGTCATGTTCCCCTTTGGGCCATGTACTGAAATGTCATGTTCCAGTATTCAGTTTCTACTGGAATAGTTGCTCTCCTAGTAGAAGCCACGAATATACAAATGTTCAGGATTTTTCTCCCAGGGCAAAAATGGCCACTCTGGGAGAAAAATAACCCAGAAACAACCAGTTTTAAATTGTTTCTGGGAGAGTGACAGTCTGTACTGTTTCCTTCCTGAGAGAAGCTGCAGCATAGTCTTGGATGCTGTGCTTTCACCCTCTTCCCCGCTACCCCCTTCCAAGGGAGGCAGTATGTCACTTGGTCTGGACTTAACTGCTCCAGATGAGGAAGGAGCAGAACACAACCCCTTCTCAATCCGCACATTGTGCTGTATATAGGTAGAGACAGGCTGAACAGGAGCAGTCTAGGTCAGCCAATCAGGGCTGACCTGTGCAATAATGCCCTCTTTCTCCAGGCAAACTAAGGGAGCCTGCAGAGCACACTGATATGTGTTCACAGGACCCCCCTGGCTGCACAGAATAAGCTCTGCAAGATTTCTCTGCTCCTCATCAATCTATATAGGCATCTCCATGTATGTTTTTCTCCCAGGTAAATAAACCTAGGACAATTCTCCCAGATCATCTGAATGTGTGTA